TTAAAGACATCCGTGAGCAATGTTTTGTTGTTGCCAGTGCAGGTTACTTACAGCATCAGGTGAGGTAAAGTTTGGATGTGTGGGACAGGCTTAGTATGCATATGGCTGGGGTGGAAAAAAAAACAGCTTGTTTCTAGATCAGGGGTTTCAACCTTGGCAACTTTAAGACTTGTGGACTTCAACTCCTAGAATTCCTCAGCCAGCAAAGCTTTCTGGGAGTTGAAGTCCACAAGTCTTAAAGTTGCCAAGGTTGAAGACCCCTGATCTAGACAATTCTTGCTTTCCGGGCCTTGAGTCCAAAGAGGTGGAAATGAAAATATGCAACCTGTCAAACCAAGATTTGGGGATTCAAGAGATGTTTGCAGCGGAGCAAAGAAGGCGAGGATGCCTTAAATCCAATCCAGGTTTAATATAGCAGGGATAAACAATCTTGTCTCCTTCTATGATTGGCGCTTGACAAAGGCGAAGGAACTTGTGTGGGTAAATGAAACCGTGAGCTATTTCATCGGACATGTATATACGTCCAGAAGAGTCTCCCAAGGCGAACAGGCCATGATGATGGTGAAATAACCTTCTACTGTAAATCTAGTGAAGCAGTCACAAAGCAGAGAGCAAGCAGAGTTCAGAAGACCCTGTGAATAAACAGAGAGAGTCCTGCAAAGAGAGATTGAACAAAAGACTGTACAAAAAGTTGAGGCTGGATTTCCTTTGGCCCAAGGGTTTTATATGGAGCACTTCAAGCTGAACTGTGTTCCTGAACCCTTAAAGAAGAATCATCTCTTGCGTAAAAGCCTTAGCCCATCCTTCCATGGAGCGCTTTTTAAAGCCTCATATTCTCCCAACATCCTGTTCATTGTCCCATCATTCAGCCTCAGTGCTGTTTTGGAACATGTGAGAGTTGTATATTTTCAGCACCAGTGCTTGTGCTGCAAGTTGCAAAGAGGGATGGGGGGAGAAAAGAAATTGGTTGTATCCCCTGGCTGGCTGTGAGATCTCAGACAAAGAGGGTTCCCCACACCCCCATTTTCCTATTCTGATAAGGATCACTTGTCTACCTTTAGAGTTTAGAAGAAGGAGCCTTTCAGTCTCAGCCAGCAACAATCGATGGGCTAGGAGAATCACATTGGACCTAGAATGAGATTGCCTGGGGGACAGGAAATACTGTCTCTTCTAGCGATCCTAAATTAGTCTTTTCCCTGTGTAATTCTGGATTGCAATAGAAGAGATTAAAACTCAGATGCAGTAGAAGCTACCCTCCCTCTGGCTCTGCAATTTCCCATGTTGGGCTCATTAAACAATACGTATCCATTTTTAGAACATCCATTTTAATTTAAAATCGCTGCAGTGTAACATTTAACATTTTAAAAAGATGTACTGCAATAATGATGAGCAAATCTTGCTCAAGATACAATGAAACAGCCCCATTTTTATAATGTTTTTTAATAATTTTCCTATGTTCTTTGTTGTATTATTTTTTTGCTGTAAGCCGCCCAGAGTCCCTTGGGAGTTGGGCGGCATAGAAATTTGATAAATTAAATTAAATTAAATTAAATTTTGGGATGCTTTTGAAATAATGAAACAAAATGAGATAAAGGTTTTATTAGCAGTTATCATTTGGTACTGATGTTGGTTAATCTCAGAAAGGTGAACTGGGATACACATGGTTAGTACTTGAATCGAGGCCTCAGATCCTTGCTAGAACTATAGGCTAAGCCAGAAAGTCAGTGACAGTGAACACCCCAGGAAAAGACAGTGCCAATTCCACACAGCCTCTGAGAAAACAACATGCAAACTTAGTTGAACTTGAGTAGAAGAAGGCTTTACTTGTTCTTTACTCTGCTTTTGTGATCAGAAATGTTATTTACCGTACTGAGTATTTTGATATACAGAATTGGAACTGGACCAGCACTGACAGGGCCAAGCTTATGACACGCGTGTCCTCTATCCATGTCAGTTTGTCAGAACGGGATCTGGAGCTGCTGGGGGTTATAGAGTCTCTTAGTATTTGTGACTTTCTGTTGTTGCTTTTAAGGATATTAAAAGTATGCAAGATATGCTATGCATACACAATATTTTTTACCGTCTTACTGATTTAACTCATTTTCTGGATTCTCACAATACACCAAATCATAAATTAATCAAATGGGTTCAGTTCTCATAACTCCCTAAGCTACACAAAACCGAATCCATGGTAATGCTATCTCCTCATAGCATGTTGTATGAATGAATTTGCAATTTAGCTGTCTTGCTGTACAGTTTGGTTATATAGGTTGGTTAAAACATCAAGACGGTAGTACTTTGGGTTAGGCTTTGAATGTACAGTCCTTGCCACCATCTGGATTTTTGTTACACACACACACACACCTTGCAGATACTCCTGGAGGCATTCAACTAATTAGGGAAAAGGTAGGCTGGAAAATAGATTTGAATTGAAATGGGAAATTTAATGGGAGTGTGCATTGCTAGAGTTGCCCTTTATTTGTGACCACACATTTTGTATACATATGTATATGTACTGCTATAACATGGTTACCCTTAGGGTGTAAATAAACACCAAGGATGTTTGCTTTGTCTCTGTAACTGTCCTTATCCTGCCAAAAGAGTGAGAGGAGAGAGTGATAACAGAAACCTTTGTGAATGGGGTTTTGGTAACACGGAAATATTTCCTCTCTCCTTCAGGCAAATGGAGAAAATAAAATTACACTCCATTGAATGGAGGAAGACGACCTATGTCCAATAAGGACTTATTTCATTAGGAAAATGTATTTATTTTATTTATTTATTAGATTTTTATCCTGCCTTTATTATTTTGTAAGTAATTCAAGGCAGTGAATGTACCTATTACGGTAATCCTTCCTCCTCCTGTTTTCCCAACAACAACAACCCTGTTAAGTGGATGGGCTGAGAGAGAGAGTGACTGTGGCTCAGTCACCCAGCCAGCTTTCTTGCCTTAGGTGGGACTTGAACTCATGGTGTCCTGGTTTCTAGGCCAGCACCTTAACCACTACACCAAACTGGTTCTCTTTTCCCCTCCCATTGCACGCCAACGGGTGAACACGCTCCATTGGGTTGTGTACCAAAGACATCTATTCCTATTCTCTGCTTCCAAGCTTTCTCATAGACCAAGAGGGGCTATGGAGAAAATGTGAAAAATAGGTGGATTTTCCTCCCCCCCCCCAAGTTGGTCAAAAATTGTTCCATAAACTTGTTACGCTGTAACACGAAATCGGAACCTGCAAAAACCTTGAGCATCTGCCCCTTAAGTGACACTTCAAAAAGGGCTTCCACATTCACAAATGGCTTTGGACTATTAAGTGATTTGGGATGGAGGAAGCTGCCCTTGAATGACAGCATGCCAAGAATCAGGGGGGTTGACACATTTAGCCTGCCAGATGGACCCTTACAAGGTAGTGAATCCCCCATTTTTCTTTTTCTGAGAACCACGCTTTTTCAGAGAAATGAAATGCTAGAAGATACAGAGTATATATGTAAAACAAGAGCTTTGTGCAACAGTGTTATTGAGGGATAGGTATAATTATAAGATGCAGCAGAAAAACTGATTGCTCTGACCTGAAGTTAATGAGCTTATTTTAAACTCATTTTGTAACACGATGCATGAAGAATATCTTTTACTTAAATGCTCTTATTGCTTCAAGCAACCAATCCTTTCCTCTAACCGAGGATGAAGAAGGGGATTTACTACTTGGGCTTCAGCTGTCTTGATCTAGTTCTAATCACAACGACGCTACTTAACAAGGATATACAATCATAATTTGCCATTCAAGGAGCGTGGGCTAATATCTAGTCTCAACTATTCAGCCAAGATACCTGTCTTGGGTTGTTTATCTTGCAGAAGAGCAGAGCTGGGAATTCTGCCAGTTGTAACCCAGCACATCTGGAGGGCGCCAGACTCGGGAAAGCTGTATTATAACAGTAATTCTTTGCAAGTTCAGGAAAAGGTCAGCAAGGGTTCAGGGTTTAGCTACCTTGAATGAAACTCAGTTTCTTGCCTCATTTTTAAAGGTTATCCTTTCTATTACAAAAATACACCCTTCTGTCAACTTATAATAAACATTTACAATTATAACCTTTCTTAAGTCTAAAACCTTACCCATAGGTTAAAGATAAAGCATCAGTGTTATTGCATAAATATTATGTGCATTAAACTTCTCCCCCATAATTAAAACGGTTTGCATTCATCAAGATCTTGGTTGAACAAGACAGAGTTAATTTGGCTGCCTACATGACTCCAGTGCTTCAATTGGGGGAAATTTTCTAGTTTCCGAAGCTGGAGTGCCACTGTGCAAAAGAGCTCCAGAAAATGACCAAATCCTTGGCTGGGTTCACATGGAGCGTGCTTGAAAGTCAGGTTGTTGGTTTGTCTGCTTGCTTCTTTGTTTGTTTATTCATTGATTGAGCGAATGAATTTATACAGCCAGGGCTTCAGAAAGGACCAGAATCAAGCTATTTTTAGAATGGGGCTGCTTGGAGGCAGAATGTTAATTTTGGGAGTGTGTGTCGATGAGTATTCAGGCATTTGATAAGATGAAACAAGAGAAGGGAATAATTCACAGATGCATAAACATAAGTGTCACTGGTCCTCAGAAATATAGTTCTGGTAATGATTGGAGAAGATACTTCAATATTGCTTACTCTAAGACTAATCTCTCTTTCTTAATAACAAAAAGAGTCTTAAATCTGTATATGGAAACCAAAAGTATGTCTTACATACTTCCATGCTGGTTTTGTGTATGACACCCTTGCACACTTAAGTCCTTTCTTCTTTGTTGTTTATCCATGCAATAGCAAAGTGGTATAGACGGAAAAAACTTTGCCTTTGGGACAGGAAGTAAAAAAAAAGCCATACTAGAAACCAGTAGAAACAATATTTGTTCAACAGGATCTAGTAACAATGGATTGGTTTATGCTGTTGCTATATATGCATTCTTCCTTAACCTATCATATACTGAAATCGGTTTTCATTCTGGCTATTATTTCAGAACTGCTTAAGAAGAAGAGATGCTGGCTTATTAAACCAGTTGCAAGAACTGGACAAACAGATCAGTGATTTGAGGCTGGATGTTGAAAAGACAGCAGATGAACACCTTGACATGGATAGCCGTCCCAGTTCAGGTAAGCATTTTATGTTGCTAAGCTAGGTTATGAGGATCAGCAGACTTTAGGTCTTGGCAACCCAGCATTCTGTGGGGGCCCAAGCATCTAGGACATCCCTAGGTACGATCCACAGAACTCCAGTGTTAAATAAAAATGTCAAATGCCTTCCATCTTGCATGAAAAAGGCAACTGCCAAGGAATTATATCCCACCGGGAACAGTTATGCTATAAGGAACAAGCTGAGGAAGCTGCAGCCAAAACTCTGCTTGCTCAGATGACATGAATTATAGTTACAGCTTCTTAATTTAGGTTCAGTTATAGTTGGAGGTTCGGTTAATTATATGGAAACTGAAAGATGTCTATACTGTATCAAATGAAGCCTCCCTTTACTTTTACTGGCCTTTATATCTGACAGCTAATTGCATCTACAGTCCTATATTTCAGTATGTTTGCCAAAGAAAGAGCCACTGATAACCATTATTCAGATGTAGCATTTGACATTTATTTACTAAAAAAAACGTGTAGGTGTATTGTTTCATTAAGAGGTAGATGTGGGAACTAGACTCAGTTCTATCATGTTGCTACATTCCCTCTGCGCCATCTCATTTTCTTAAACAAACTCCTGTTTTATTTGGAATGGGATTTTAGGTTCAGGAGGAATATGCTAGATTATTGCCCTATTCCTTCCATATGCTACTAACCGCAAGCAGCTTTAATGGACTTTTTTGTTTTTTTAATAGGGTTTTATGAGCTGAGTGATGGGGCTTCTGGATCTCTCTCCAACTCGTCCAACTCTGTTTTCAGTGAATGTTTATCCAGTTGTCACTCCAGTACTTGCTTCTGCAGCTCTTTGGATGCATCCTTGAGTGGCTCTGATGGACGGCCCAAATCTGCAGGTATAGCAAGAATTTCTAATACCCAGGCATGTTTAAGGTTATTTTCCTTTGCAGCATACATCAGGAGCTCATGCAACCCATCAAGTTAGCCATTGGGGCTATTCTGAGTCCCGATCAGCCTTGTCCTTGTTTGTTCCTGGTCAATACTGTGTTTCTCCAAAAAGAAGGCCAAGTCTTATTTTCTTTTGACCCCCGAAAAAATGGCTAGGCCTTATTTTTGGAGGGTTCTAATGATCGACTCACCTTGCGGTGGTGGCACCAACAGCCCCACCCAGCAGAAGCCTGCTGCTGGCCCACTTCTTCTGCGGCCGATCTGGATTTTCTGCAGATCGATCTGGAGCTCTGTTATCGGATGCCTTCCAGAAGGCATCTGAAGGTGAAAGGGAGGCCAGGGCAATTTTATTTATTTATTTATTTATTAAATTTATATGCCGCCCCTGTCCAGAGACTCAGGGCGGCTCGATGCATGCGAGTGGTGGCAAGCAGCCGCAGAAGAAGGCGAGGCAGGTGTCAAGGTGTGCGAGGCCTGGTAAGTAGGGCAGCTCTACCCCCCCCCATCCATACCCTAGCTTATTTTTTACCTGTGTGCCTTGTCCCACCCCTTGCACACTGGGGTGGGCGGGATCTTAATTAGGGCTAATTTTGTGGGTGGGCTTAATTTGATCACATGCACTCAAAAATGTGATAGGGCTTCTTTTCAAGGTGGGTTGTCTTTTTGGAGAAACACGGTAGATACTGGGATAGACAGCAAAGAAAACAATAGCATTACCAAATGAGGTTCTACTGAGATAATGGCTGTGGGATAAAAACACTGGATCTAATGATCCAATAGATCAGTTGCTATATTCATACACTAAACCAGGGGTGTCAAACTCAAGGCCTGTGGGGTGCTTAGATCTAGCTCACAAGGCTGCCCTGGAATCAGTGAAGAATTGGTCCACAGTGCCTCTGCCAATGAAAATGGAGCTGGGGGGGGGGCGTGGGTGGCCCTTCCAAGCTTCGTTTTCGTTGGCAAGGGTTGCAGGAGGCTGACACAACCGAATTTTCTCTGGCAGAGTGCTCAGGCTGCCACAGGTGACCCTGATACAAGTGACATCAAGCTGGCCATGCCCACTCCAGCCACGCCCACCCTGGCCACACTCACCCTGATGTGGCCCTCAATGATCCTGATGAGAATGTGGCCCTCAATAATCCTGATGTGGCCCTCAATGAAATCGAGTTTGACACCCTTGCACTAAACTAAGCAACATTTTGATCTATTGTATGAAACCAGACACTATAGTTTGTGAACAATATTTTCTGTGGGCCAATCATGATTTACTCAGTAAATGATGATTAAACAAAATATGGCTCAGCCCTGATTCCATATTCTTGTTCCCCCACCCCCCAAGTGTAGCTGATATGGGAGAAATAAATAGGCTGTAGCCACAGATTGGTAGCTGAGGGATAGAGAGAACTGGGACGTTTCTTCAGCCCCATGTTTATATCATTTATTTTTTAATCAAATTACAGAAATCTGAATATTATAAGAATAATATGCAAGTAAAGCTCTTCATTTGTATTGTATTTTTATTTGCAATCTGTCTCAAATCTGTGAGCTAAATGGGTCATCCTCAGATTGGAACTCTTTATAAATATATTGAGATAGGAATTGTCAATCTGGATTTTATAGAAAACAGTATCTTGGACTATTGTAGATATGTAGACTATTGTAGACATATCTTAATCCAAATGATAATAATTGCAATAGGAAGTTATTAGTTCCACTTTCATCTCCGAATGTTATTCCTTACTTATTTCGTCTCCATTTCATTGAATTTCAGATTTCATCAGCTGGCTGGAGCAAAACAAAGGAGTCCAACAAAATGACCAAGCGGGGATGGCCTCTCCATCAATGCCACACACAGATTCTTTTGACATCGTTGCAGATGTACATCCAAAATACCAGTGCGATCTGGTGTCTAAAACCGGAAATGATGTGTACCGTTATCCCAGCCCTTTACACGCTGTTGCAGTGCAGAGCCCCATGTTTCTTCTGCCGGTGACCAGTTGTCCCCCAAGAGAAGAAGTAGAAAGAACCAGTGACAATGCTGTTGATGTTGGACCGGAACTCAACTCAGAAAAAACAGTGGATTCTTGTCTTTCACACACTTCTCGTTCTCCATCCTGTCCTTTGCCCAGCAGAAAAATGGATGGATATATTTTAAGCCTTGTGCAAAAAAAGGCTCCTTCGGTGAGGACTAATAAACCAAGAACGAATCTGAATGCAGATCTGGCCAAGGGGATTTTGAGACATGGAAGCTTGTGTCTTCGGCAGATGGCTACCGCTGCGCCTAGCAATACCACTAACGCTAAGAATCTCAATCAGCCACTTTCACATTCCAGTGGAACCACTCTTACCCTAGACAACAGTGCCTTTTCTCCCATAAAGCAGAATTCAAAGGATGTAGAGCATACGGAGTTAAAAAAGATACCCGCACCTGCTGTTTTCCCACCAAATGCTAATAATGATCAAAGCAAGCCCTCGGTGAAGAATGTCAAAACTCAAGAAGTGATGCGATCCCCTGTGACTAAGAGTGATGCTCTCAAGGAAAGTGGCCAACTCTTTTTGATATGTCCTAAAGAAAGCCCAGGGCAGCACATAACACCCTTGAAAGAAAAGAAAGCCGTCCAGCTTCCCAAAAAGCTATCATTTAAAAGTAGTGGGACGCAGTCGGCTTGCTCTGTTTTGTCAGGCCAGGAGAGCAGATCATTGGTGGAATTTAAGAGTGAGGGGTCATCATCCCAGAGTCTGGAGGAGGGATTGCTGGTGAATGCCCAGTTCATACCTGCTCAGCCACAAACAGTCAGACTTCACAAAGGCACCAGGAGTGTCAAAATTCTCAAAGGTTCTATGGTGAAACACAGATCTCATCTGGTCACTGTGCTGGAAAATGGACCTCAGGCTGGACGGGAGAGGGCCAAACCCGTGGGCAAAAAGTGTCACTTCCTGGATGAATTGGATCCAAATAAGAAGCCAAAAAAGACCGCTTTGAGAGGGAAGAAAGGCCTCCACCTTCAGCCAGATGCCAACCATCCAAGTCGGCAGCCAGGCGTACTCAAGTCTGTGCTGAGGCCCCACGGACATAGCAGAGAACCAGTAGTTGCCAAGCCCAAGCACAAACGAGCAGATTACCGGCGCTGGAAACCCTCTACAGAGGTATCTTATGAAGATGCCCTTAGGCGGGCCAGGAGGAACAGGAGGGAAGCTGTAGGAGTCTATTCACAGGTTCCACATCCTTATATCAGCCCCTATGCCTATGTTGCTAGTGACTCAGAATATTCGGCTGAATGTGAATCCCTCTTCCACTCCACTGTAGTGGACACCAGCGAGGATGAAAGGAGCAACTATACCACCAACTGCTTTGGGGACAGCGAGTCCAGCTTAAGTGGAGTGGAGTTTGTTGGTGAAAGCACAACAACCAGCGACTCAGAGGAAAGCGGGGGCCTCCTTTGGTCCCAGTTTGTTCAGACACTTCCCATCCAGGCAGTGGCTGCTGCTTCAGAGCTCCATGAAAATGCAGCCAAAGCCTTTGTTAAGATTAAAGCATCCCATAACCTTAAGAAGAAAATCCTTCGCTTTCGGTCCGGCTCTCTCAAACTGATGACTACTGTCTAAACGGATATGAGAAGCAAATGATAGCAGCAATGATAATATCCCTGCCTCTTGGTGAGACGTATATGTGTAAGGGAAGTGAGTGTCAGGATTTTGGCAGATCTTGGGGACATTTTTTCAGGACTTGGGAGCTCTGTAGCTATGCTGACTCTCAGAGGGCCCTTCACCGGCTGTCATTGGAATTGCCTGCCTTAACATCTCGAAGGGCAGAGCAAGCAACTTTTCTGTGACGGAGTGGACATGTTTGTGTAGGTCTACTTTTTGGGCTGAGGACTATAGAGGGATCAAGCAAGTAAGGCAGGGCATGTCCTGCAAGGGGATAATGTTGTGCCATTTCAAGGCTTCCTAATCTTTTCCAGCTTCAGAGGTTGGATAACCACTCGTAAGGTTATGTAAGGTGAAGGAATGACAAAATTTTGGGGACAGGGCCAAACATGGGAAGCTTGGTTTTTTTTGTGTATGTGTCTGGAATTCAAGACTTTGGGGGGAATTTTAAGAGGTAAAATTAGGTGGAGATTTAAGTCATCTATTTTAGACATTGAAACCTCCAAAAAGGGAAAGCTGACCTTAAAAATCCTCCAAACAATACCATAGAACCGTGATGGCGAACCTATGGCATACATGCCACTTCTGGCACACAGAGCCTTCTCTCCAGGCATGCGAGCTGTTGCCCATTGCTCTTCTGGGTTCTGGCGCACTGGCCAGTTAGTTTTCATGCATGCTGGAGCACTGGAAACTGGAAGAGCAGCCGCCCGGTGCGCATGCGCGCTAGGAAGATTATCTTCTGGTTTTTGGCACGCACATGTGCCCTGGCCAGCTGGACTTGGCATGCACATGCATGCCAGAAACCGGAAGACCAGGTGGCCGATATGCATGGGTGTGCCGGAAACTGGAAGATCATCATCCCTGCACGCTCATGTGCACCAGATAGCTGCTCTTCTGTTTTCCAGTGTGCCCATGCACTCCAGCCAGCTGGCCTTCGCATGTGCATGTGCACCAGAAACTGGAAGACCAGGTGGCCGGTTTGCATGCATGTGCTGAAAACCAGAAGAGCAGCCTCCCGGTGTGCGCTTGCACACCGGGTGGCTGATCTTCCGGTTTCCAGCACGCGCGCATGTGCGTGCATGCATGCTCCTGTTTTGGCACTCGGTTCACCAAAAGGTTCACCAACACTGCCATAGAATGAAAGTATCTGTTTAGTTCATTTTGGGGGGAATCTCGGGAAGAACATAAAACGTGTTGGGGGACTCCATTTGAGCCAGGGTGTCTACCTCTGATTTAAACTTTGAAATAATCCATTATAATAACAGAACGTTGGGCAGATTTAATCTCCTTCTCCTAATGCACCATTTTTAGCATGACAAGGGCTTGCTCTGGAGAAGGAAAGACTCGCCTCTTTTACGTTTGCAGGCTTCCCATTCTCACTTGCCTTGAGCAATCAGGCAAATGGCTAGTTACAAGACTGGTATAAGCAGAGAACAGAAAGTAGAATCTATGGCAGCCTTTTCTAACCAGATACCTTTAGTGTGGGGACTGCGATTCCCAGAATTCACAGCCACCAGGAAAGGCAGCAATTCAGCCCATTAGGGAAGGTTGCCTTACGTAGACTTTTTTGGGCTCTCTCTGGTGCTGCTTTTGGCAATCTGCCAAAAAGGTCTTATGAAGATGTGACCAACACACATCTGCCTACGTAAACAAAACAAGGTGCTTCTTGTAAATAATTTTTCTAGAATGCTTTTTGTAGGGCAGATATTTAAGTCTTAACGGACTGCTTAGTTAATGTCACTTGAACCTCCATATTTTTGAGTCAACACTAGTGCCTTTTAAGTGGTGAGAACAAAAGCCACTGTGCTAGTTTTTAAACAAAGGATTAAGACACCAGTTTACTGCTTGGGCTGATTGAGATGCAGAGAAATGAAGACTTAGACCAAATGTTGATTTAAAAACAGTGTTAGAAACATCAGTGTGAAAAGATGGTTAAATGAAATGCAGGATACACATTTTTTAAATAAGCAAACTTGGTAAGCATTGTGTTGATTTATGCGGCATCACTGATTAACACAGAAAATCTCTGCTTCAGATTATCTCCATCATCCACAGACATTTTATATTTACAAAAAAAGAGACCAAGATTTCGCTTGATGCCTCCTTATACGCTGATTAGATTAGTTGTTCCTGTTGTTCAGCATTGTCTATTTTGAATTAAAACTACCTTCAAGAGTCTTGAGCAGAGGTTTTCCCCATTATTTTCTCCTGGATGATTTTTAAATGTAGAAGCAGGGATTGAACTGCCTTCCAAAGGAGGAACCTCAGTACTGAGCCATAACTACCTAAAGCTGCCTTGAATTTAGATAATGATCCATCCAGCCCACTGCTCTATGGCTTTTTCCAATGTTACTTTCTGAGATCCTGAAGAAGTTGGGAATTTGGGGCAGTGGCTCTACCTCTTGAATTACTGTATTCATCATCTCTTACCAACATGCACATGTTTTAGTAGTATTGAATATTAAATTGGATTAGGAGGTGGCAATCCAAATAGTGAGATGAGGGAAACAAATGACATAAACTTCAAAATCCTTTAGGATTTATATGTGGTGGGAAGATCTGCCTTCTGCCATTTAAACCTGCTTTGTTAATCTTGTATAAGGTCAAGCACTTTGAATAAGCATCTTTAAGGAGGGAACCTGAAATGCAGGTAGTCCTTGACTTACGACCACAATTGAGCCCAAAATTTCTGTTGTTAAGTGAGACATTTGTTAAGTGGGCTTTGTCCCATTTTATGACCTTTCTTGCCTCAGTTGTTAAGTGAATCACTGCAGTTGATAAATTAGCAACATGGTTGTTAAATGAATCTGGCTTCCCCATTGACTTTGTTTGTCAGAAGGTCGCACAAGGTGATGACATAACACTGGGACATTTCAACTGTTGTAAATACAAACCAATTGTCAAGCATCCAAATTTTGATCATGTGACCATGGGGATACTGCAAAGGTCATTAAGTGTGAAAAACGGTCATAAGTCACTTTTTTCAGTGTAACTTCGAAAGGTCACTAAATGAATTGTTGCGTACACCTAATTTTGCATTCTTGATGGGAATTCTAGCAACTGATGGAAAGAGAGTGACAGGCAGATTGCTGTCTTTCATTCCCAATTTAATCTGCTGGTTACTTTGAAAATACTTTGTGATCGTAAGAACATTTCCTATACATTTTTAATTTTAAGAATAACTTCTAGCATTCACAACCAAAATTTAAAATCTGAAAAAGTGTTCAGAATGAAAGGCCAACCCCAAAGAACCACAGAATCAGAATATTGGTAACTACAGTACTTGAAGTTTAGCAACGTTTCTGAATTTTGATTCCAGTTCTAGCCATGTTCAAGGGCTTGAACTTCTAAAATTGAGACTTTTTTTTAAAGGAAATGCAAATCTTGCCAAATATCAATTTCTCAGATGCTATTTGTATGCCAAGCTTTCATACACCATCGCTGGATATTTTAAAATGTCAAAGAAATGTGTTCAGTATTGTGTATTGTTTTGTAGTTCTGTATGTAAGTGAGGATTTTAAAACAATACTTCAAATAAGAGTAAATATTGCAAGTGGAGAGGTGATTGAGAAAGATCATTTAGGGCTTCTTTTCCTTGGCTGCTTTGTCCTGAACCAAACTACCGTAGATACCTGAGACAAAAGTGCTTTTAGGACTGAGATTTCTGCAGAAGATATAAATCATGAAACTTTAGATGCTTGGTGCCCTGATGAATTATTATAATAATTAAACCATGGGAATAATAGTGAATAGCAATATATAGCCCAATAATTTCATTTCTGAAAACCTTATAGATCTTGCTAATTCTTTTCCTTCCTTTAAGAATTCTTTGTTTAAGAATAAAGAGTTAAAGTAAATAAAGGCAATGCTAGAGGTTGATGTTTAGTTTTGCAGGATTTCAGTTTCTGGTTTATTTTTAATTTGAAAAAAAAAATCTTAAAACAAGCTGGGGCAAAGAGGCTGAACAGGTTCTTCTGTCTTGGATATATGCATTAAGGTCAAGATGGGGAATTTTTCTGCACATCCCACTCAGTCACTATCCAGTTCCATTCCATTTCCCTTCTAATCAGGGGTGAAATCCAGCAGGTTCTGACAGGTTCTGGAGAACCAGTAACGGAAATTTTGAGTAGTTCGGACCACCTCTGGCTGGTCCCAGAGTGGGGTGGGAATGGAGATTTTGCAATATCCTTCCCTCCAGGAGTGGGGAGGGAATGGGGATTTTGCAGTATCCTTCCCCCTGGAGTGGGGTGGGAATGGAGATTTTGCAGTATTCTTCCCTTGCCATGCCCACCAAGCCACACCACACCCACCAAGCCACGCCCACAGAACTGGTAGTAAAAAAAAATGGATTTCACCACAGCTTCTAATATTATAATAATATAAGAATTTTGCTGGTCTGAACTAAAGGATTATCTATTCTAGGATCCTGTTTCCCACAGAAACCCACCTGATAATTCTGGGAAGCTTATTAGAATAGCAGTAGGATTCTCCCATGTTCGCCAGCAATGGAACTGAAAGGCCAGCATACTTTGACTTGGAGATGGTAGATAGACATCATGACTGATAGCTGTTGATAGCTTGGGCCATGAGAGATTTACCCAGCACCTTTGTAAAACCAATCCCATTTCATCTGGTTATAATATATTTCCTTTTGTTTTTCCTGAATCTCCCACTTTTCCGTTTCTCAGGAAGATCCTACATTCCAGCATTTTAATTTTAGATGTCTCTCTTTTCTCATACGAGTTTTCGAAGCTACAAATCCCAACTATTAAAACTTTTCTTTGTATGGGAGTGCTTCCTACCCCTTGATCATTTTCGTGGCCTTGTCTGCACCATTTCCAGCTCACTAATATCTTTTTTGAGGTGCAATAACCAGAATTCAGTATTCTAAATGAACAATACAATGGCAATTGTCTGACACTTCTTTCTTTTGACTTTGGGAAAAATTCAAAAAGTCTCTTTAAGTATATTGTGTGTATTTTTTTTTCCTTACAGTTTACACAAATATGCATGTTAAAAGCATGAGTGTCAGTTGTGTCAGTTTTTCTGTCTTGTGTCCAATAATTGTACATCATTAAGCAGCGGTATTTTATATCTCTATATGAATCACATTGCTTTATAAATTAATATAATGCATTGATATGCTGTAATAAACATTTCCTTTTTTAATCCCTTGTCATGTGTGATGCATTGATTGTAGCTAAGATGGACAACATCTGTGACCCCTTTTGAAAAATTAGACTCTTAAGGGCCAAAATACATTTTGCTACTTCTAGTCATGATATTGAGAAATATTACTTCCTTTGAAAAACAAAATAACATACATTCTTCCGGGAATTGCATGATTGGTGACTAAAAAAAAATCACCCACATTTGTCCACTTCCAATTTTTGTAGTCAAAGCTTGGCACTCCCTTTGAGATGTTCCTGTCCACATCACAGAGAAACAGGAGCCATCTGCCAATAGCAAAAAAACCCCAGCTGTTGCAGCATTCTTCCAAGTAGTTTTGTGAGATGTGTGGATCTTCACTGTTCTTTAATTGTATTGGATACTTTACAATTTAGAGAAGGGATCCTCTCTAAGGAGCCAGAAGGAAGAGCACTGGAGAAAAGAGCAAGGAGAAGTCGCTTTGTTTGCAACCAGATGGCAAAGATGAGGTCCATAGAAAGTCTGTATTCTTGTAATGATTGCTAAATGTTTTCACAGCTTCTGTGGTTTGAAAGCCTTGCCCATCAACAAAACGCATATTATTCAAAAAAGAAATAATAATAGCAGAGAGCACAATATCGATTAAAGTGCACATAATGTATTAGAGGGAGGCGGTAGCTCAGTGGCTAAGACGCTGAGCTTGTCGATTGAAAGGTTGGCAGTTCATCGATTCAAATCCCTAGTGCTGCATAACGGGGTGAACTCCTCTTACTTGTCCCAGCTTCTGCCAACCTAGCAGTTCGAAAGCACGTAAAAATGCAAGTAGAAAAATAGGGACCACCTTTGGCAGGAAGGTAATAGCGTTCCGGGCACCTTTGGCATTTAGTCATGCCAGCCACATGACCATGGAGACGTCTTTGGACAATGCTGGCTCTTCGGCTTTGAAACGGAGATGAGCACCGCCCCCTAGAGTCAGGAACTACTAGCACATATGTGCGGGGGAAATCTTTACCTTTAATGTATTCTTTCCCTACTTGTAAAAGCAGAAGTCATGCATCAATTGCCAGATAATCCAACATGAGCATAAACTGAATTAAGCCTTACTGAATGGAATTTACACCCAGTTTGTTACAACTAGCAATATAAGAACTTTTATATGTGTGCATATTCATTAATTCCATTTATATGCTGCCATAAGGCTATGCAGAGCTATATAATCTCAATAATTCATTGCTAAACTATCAGATCTGCTAAGGAGGGAAGGAAGGAAGGAAGGAAGGAAGGAAGGAAGGAAGGAAGGAAGGAAGGAAGGAAGGAAGAAGATTAATTCATATTTCAATTTTTATATGCCTTTGAAAACAGAAGCTAGGTTATGGTTCTTATAGAACATGGAAGACTTCCCTTGAAGAAGTTTTATGTACAATATTCAATATTTTTCCAGCTCTTGGAACATCTTCAATGTTTTTAAGTTACTGTTATGGAGTTACTATACATAGGAGAATATGTTACCTATGCTTAACTTTGCTGGATCCATTGTTGACAAGAAACCACTTGCTTTGTATCCAGGTTCAACCATTCCTTGCATTTCAGATTGCATCCTCAGTTGGAAGCATCAAATGAATAATAGAAAGAGCTACTGCAAATCAGTAGTGTATTGATTGGAAATAGTGTAAACAAGACAGAGATAAAATAATAGAACAATAAAGCAAACAATGAAAAAGAAAACAAGGGGAATACATCAATATGATAACAAAAAGATGGATGGGTGGAGAGCAGAAAGCAAGGTGGCCTCCAGTGTGGAATTCCCCCATTGGGTCTCCAGGCCAACCATCAGTCAGGTCTCCTGCAGAAGATAGGAGGATGGGGGAGAGCTTACCCAAAATGTTTGTCCATAACCTTTCCAGCCATCTGATGTCACCAGATACTTTCTGTGGCCTTGATGGGTGAACAGCTTCCCTAAGTTTTCAAAAGTTGTCCATTCCTGCTAAAGATTGAAGCTCTACCAGAGGTGGGTTTCAGCAGGTTCTGACCAATTCTGGAGAACCGGTAGCGGAAATTTTGAGTAGTTCAGAAAACCGGTAGTAAAAATTCCGACTGGCCCCGCCCCCATCTATTCTCTGCCTCCCAAGTCCCAGCTGATTGGGAGGAAATGGGGATTTTACAGTATCCTTCCCCTGGAGTGGGGTGGGAATGGAGATTTTACAGTATCCTTCTCCTGCCATGCCCACCAAGCCACACCCACAGAACCGATAGTAAACATTTTTGAAACCCACCACTGAGCTCTACCTTACCTACTGTAGTTTCTAGAATATTTTCATGGCTCTGGCATCTCTCTATTCTTCCTCTACTTAAAAATATGCATGATACAATATATGTATTATGTTAAAATAACTTTGCTTCTATATAATTTCTTACTGCTACAGTAAATTTTTTCTAACAGCAACCTGAAATTATTGGATTTTTCCCACTCAGGGAATGACAGCTCAATAGGCTTAGTGTCTTTCACAATATCACAGCCCTCTCAGAATCTTCTGACTCTTTTCTGGCAGAGTCAAACAGTCCAGTGTCAAAGACCGACAAAAACAACTTAAGAAAAAAAATCAATAGGGAAAAACTTGGTCGAGGTCTGATTAAGGAGTCAACACAAGGCATTCAATAGCAGCGATCAAAGTTCAGAAGATTTGCCTGGTACAAACAGGTCCAGGCCAAAAAAATCAGTATTTCCAGGAACTCAGGACAGACTTAGAGTCAAGGCACATCCGCATTTTTCATAGTACTACGCAGAACAGAATTCAGATGTTCTTTGGAGTACAGGTAGTCTTCGCGTTATGACCACAATTGAGCCCAAAATTTATGTGCTAAGCGAAACATTTGTTAAGTAAGTTTTGCCCCATTTTACGACTTTTCTTGCCACAGTTGTTAAGTGAATCATTGCATTTGTTAAGTTAGTAGCATGGTTGTTAAGTGAATCTGGTTTCCCCATTGAGCTTGCTTGTCAGAAGGTTGCAAAAAGGGATCTGGCCGGCCTGGCCTAATTTTTCCCCTTTTTTCTTTGTTCTTTTTACAATATACATTTTAATCTGTTTTTAAATTATTGGGGTGTTTTAAATTTGTCTTGGGCCAAATTGTTTAATTCGGTTTTATTCTGCTTTTAAATTTTGTATTTATGTGTTTTACTTTGTGGCTGTTCACCGCCCCGAGTCCTTTGGGAGTAGGGCGGTATATAAATCTAATAAAACAAACAAACAAAACAAACATGACCCTAGGACAGAGGTCTTCAAACTTGGCAGCTTTAAGACTTGTGGACTTCAACTCCCAGAATTGAATCTGGGAGTTGAAGTCCACAAGTCTTAAAGCTGCCAAGTTTGGGGGACCCCTGCCCTAGGACAATGCAACTGTCATAAATATGAACCAGTTGCCAAGCATCTGAATTTTGAACACATGACCACAGGGATGCTGCAACGGTTGTAAGTGTGAAAAACGTTCATAATTCACTTTTTTCAGTGCCGTTGTAACTTTGAATCATCACTAAATGAACTGTTGTAAGTCAAGGCCCACCTGTATACCACGCTCCACATTTTGAGAAATGTGGCTGAAAATTGCATGAAAATAATAGAATACTGAGGAGAGTTGTATTTATACATGAAGGGAAATGGCACGTAAAATGTATACATTAGAACAAGAAAATTGAAAAACGCCCCCATGTACATCTCCAATTAAAAGTGGCTGGAATACATTTAGGATTGAATACATGCAACATTGACATGAACTACCTACACATTGATTCATTTAATCATTAGGGATAATGAATAATACGCCGAAGCTGGCTTATGTAGGATTGTTGAATCTCGTCTGCAAAATTCAAGAGAACCACTCGATTACAGTAAAAAGAAATTTCCATATCTGTTTGTTGCCCTTTATTGATTGTCTCGATTATTTGCAGCCAAAATATGACAGTCCAAGATTTTCTCTTGTAAAAATTTGTTTCATGGACGATCCAAACAAACCTTTTACTTTGAGTGAGAATAATGCAGAGGATGGCAACATTTTATGCTCCGGATGCAATGAAAAAAAAAAAAAAGGATTGAAACCTCATGAGGTAATTATATTTAAAGTGTTTTGCTGTGAGAACTCATGAAAGCATGGACAGTGGTGGCAAAATCTCACACCGGCCTGCTGAAATCTCCCGATACGTGGACCTTTAAAAAAAAAAAAAAATTAAAGCATGGATTGAATCTGGGCACGTTGTGCCATTTTAAGATGCAGAGATGTTCTCGCACCTTCAAGTGACTCGTTGTCAAGGCTCAGAATTAAAAGCTTTTCATCTTCTCCACCTTTGCAGATGACTAAATGCACCTATTTAGAGGGCATGCTTGCTTTTGGGGATGGCTGAGATAATAACATAAATTATATTTCATCAGTGGTCCCTGGTGCTCTCTGAGCTTGCTTTTTTTCTTTAGATGTTTCATTACCTAACTAGGTAACATCATCAGTTCTAGTCAGGAGTGTTGCTTGCTGTCAGTTTATATTCTGGTGACTTGCTTGTCTGTGTGAGTAGGGTTGGTCTTAGAGCCCAATATCTCTAAGATCAACCTCACCCACACAGACAGGCAAGTCACCAGAATATAAACTGACAGCAAACAATACTCCTGACTAGCACTGATGATGATGATACCTAGTTAGGGTAATAAAACGTCTACAAGAAAACAAGCAAGAACAGAGAGCACCAGGGACCCCTGATGAAATATAATTTATGTTATTATCTCAGCCATCCCCAAAAGCAAGCATGGGCTCTTTTCAACCCTGGGCTATAAATATTCTCCTTTATTGGTATTATAATTTATGTTAATAAGAACATAGATTATAAATTATAATCTCTGTCTGACACAGTGAAAAGGCATGCAGACTTTGCCATTTATTTTTAATTTGATTTATTATTTAATGAATAAGGAATGGTTCTTAAAAAAATGCTGCTAATTATATGGAAAGTTTCAAACACTCAAAAGCAGAAAAATCCATTT